CATATAACATAAATATCATCTAATGAAATATTAAACAGTAACATATCATATAAAATTTTTATATTATTGGTAAGACGGTATTTGTAAATTAATTAGAAAATCAAAAATATTGGCTATATATCCTCTAAAAAAAAATAACTGATTATTAAGTAATTAGTAAATAATTTAAAATCATAAAAAAATTATTCGAAATATACTTAAAGAAAGTAAATAATCATAAGTCTATCATCAAGGTAATCATAACTCTATCATCCTAAAAATTAAGCCGATTATCTGATTACTAATAAGACATTCCAATAAATTACAATATCAGCAAAATATTATTTAAAAAATTTACAAATAGCTATTACTATATCAATCAATGATTAAAATGATCTTTAAAATATCGGCCTCAATGCTTTTAATAATGATTAATAAATCTAAAATATTGTTCAACATCTTTAATACTGAAATTTAATTTTATAATTATCATTTGATATCATGCAAAATATATTTAATATATTGGTATGCAGAGGACCATTTATATGATGGTCAGACCTAATATACAGAGCAGTCTATAGAATCTTGCGCAGCTGTGAAAACGAGCTTGAAATAGTGAGCGATCTTGTAAAAGACAATCCATCTGAATCATCCTCAATATTATCAAACCCAAATGATTCAGACAATTTTTACGATCCAAACACTTGTTTTACCAAATTTCTCTTTTATCACCATTTACTAACACTACCTGAAACACAATTATTTGCTCCTTTTACTTACATCTACAAGCTTGCAACACAATAAATACAGAATTACAGAAACTTGTAATCATTACTCTCAAAAATAATCGATCAAAAGCCCATATTTACCTTCAACATGAACCTAAACCATTACCAGGACATTTCTTTTCTCAAAATTGAGAATTTTACAGATTTATTGAAGGCAGTATACCTCTAAGATCCAAAACTAACACTCTAATAAAACCAAATACTAACACAAGACTAATTATTCCAACTAATATAGACAACTTATTTTTATCAACACCACAACCAACACCTTACTCAGATACTAAATCTAACAACCTCTTACCTGATTTAAACCCCAACATGTTAACAGAACCTTATACTAGTAATCGACCTACTAGCTCTTCCAACTACAGTCTTAATTTATCAATTTGTATATATAATGTTCAAGGATATAATGAAGACCTTAAAAAACAAGTCTGGGAAGACTTCTGTCTTTCTAACAACCTCAACATTATTGGTATCTGTCATGGTGAATACCAACACCCCTTGTATCAGTATTGCTAGGATTAGGTACGATCATGGGTTACCTGATCGTGACTGGGCAACGACAATAGCGTGATCGTTGATGCATGAATTTAATTTATAGTCTATTTGTAAGTACTGCATAATGCGTATAACCGGGTAATTAAGTATCCAGATTGATAATCTAATAAAAGTTTATCAATTCTAAAGGAATCGATAATAAGTTTTAGCTTAGTGAAAAACATTCTAAAGGAAAAACTGAGTGGTCAACGTTATAGTATATCAGTGGCAGTACCTGGAACGTTACTCCTAGCCTGTGTGGAAAGCTAAGCGAGTTGAATTAGAAGGCCAAAGGAATAAAGACCCCGTATAACTGCAATTCTCCATGACAGAAGGACCTGGGCAAATGAAAGTCCTACTCGTTGAATTTCAAAGAGCCAAAAGTTTTGAAAGTGCATTGTGTATTTTAAGAAATACAAAAGGACATTGTTAGTGAAAAATAAATAAACGAATAAAACAAAATAAAAAAATAAAAAAATAAAAATAAAAATAAAAAAATAAAAAAATAAAAAAATATATATATATATAATAATATCGAACGTAACTCAAGTTGTGAAGTCAAAAGAGAATGGAAGGCGAAAATCGGTTGGTTACATTGGTTGAAAACATGATAAAAGTGGTGGCTGAAGTTGTGAAGAGCTTGAAGGTGGTGCAAATGAAATGATGACATTATAGACCATGCTTATGCTACATATGTCGACGCCCAGGACATTTGGCTCGATCATGTCCATCTCAAGTACAACCTACAATTATGGTTAAAGAAAAGGATCAGAATATAAGCTGGAAAAGAAATCAGCAAGAGAAAAAGAAAAAGGATACAAATCCGAATGAAGTCCAAAATGTAAAGATCTTTAGGTGCGTGGATGAAGAAATTAAAGATTTTGTTAGACATTGCTACCATCATGGAAATGGTATTGAAAAGGATGAACATAAGATGTTCATTTATTGTCAAAGATCTGCCGATGGAACATATATTGTTGGTGATTGTTATCAACATAAGGTCGATAGCAGAAATGATAGAAACAAGCAGTGTTTGAATCCTGATGAAATTGGAGTCGAAACAAATGAATATAAGGTGTTCATTTATCAGCAAAAATCTGAAGATAAAGGCAACATTAATGAAATTGGAGTCAAAACAAATGAACTTAAGGTTTTCGACAAATACTATGAATTTTTGGATATAGAAGAAGCTGAAATGATGTGTAATATTGATAGTTCTAAGCATGAAGAAGACTTTTGAAAATCTGCTAATGAAAATGTAGCTAACTCAGATAGAAAAGACATTAAATTAAAAGAAGCTAGCTCAGATGGTAGAGCTAAACCTGATGATAGAGTTGTGAATAATGGAATAACAATAAGAAGAGGGATGAATTATGTGAAGTTGATTGGATAAAAGCCAAAATTGGGTGGAATCAACGAAAAATGTGAAAATCTTGTGATGACTGAAATCCGGAACAAATATTAAATGTATTAGATCAAGTTAGAAAAAGAGGATTCTACGATCGTATATACTTGGATCATACGATCGGCTGCGACAGTGTGGAGCATGCGATATTTGGAAATCGAATTGACATGCATTTGGGTTGGAAATGTTAGTGAAAAAAAAATAAAATAAAATAAAAAAAATAAATAAAAATTTAGTGTTTGAACAGTGTACTAGTATAGTTTCAATTTAATATAACTTAATAATTAGGATGGGATAATGGTGTATATTGGATTTTACAAAGGCTGGTAACTTCGAGGACGAAGTATCTGGGATCTAGCTCCTATCATGGTGATGACCAACACCCCTTGTATCAGTATTGCTAGGGTTAGATACGATCACGGGTTACCCGATCATGACTGTGCAATGACAATGGCGTGATCGTTGATGCATGAATTTAATTTATAGTCTATTTGTAAGTACTGCATAATGCGTGTAACTAGGTAATTAAGTACTCAGATTGATAATCTAATAAAAGCATATCGATTCCAAAGGAATTGATAATAAGTTTTAGCTTAATGAAAAATGTTCTAAAGGAAAAACTGAGTGGTCAACGTCGTAGTATATCGGCAGCAGACCTGGAACGTTACCCCTAGCCTGTGTGGAAAGCCAAGTAAGTTGAATTGGAAGGCCAAAGGAACAAAGTCCCCATATAACTGCAATTCTCTGTGACAGTATCACAGAAACTAAGATTTCTAAAAAAAATTCAATCACTTATCTTCAAAAGTCCAAATCCTTCACCTACTTCTGGTCTTGCACTGATAGTGCTGCTATTATGATCCAAAACCAACTTAAACTACATATTCACAATATTCTTACTGAATCTGAATATGCCATTTCTATTGATCTATTCTTCAAATATGACTTTAAATTTAGAATTATTAACATCTACCTACTTTGTGATAGCTCACAACTTCGCTTACAAACCCAAAACACTGTCATTCAATGGATTCAACAAGCTATTTTCTTAAATCTTCAACCTATAATCATAGGAGATTTTAATGCCTCCAGTGACAACACTTAATCTTCATCTATCAAATACAAGCTTCACTTTCTCTAATATAATAATATATATAATTTGGCAACCTATACACAATCTACAGATACTACATAGCACAATAGCATACACAGTAGTAGTCGTATTGACTACATCCGGGCTTATCATCTTGTACTTTGTTATCTAATCTCATTTCACCTTGAGAATACAGATACTTGTACTAAAAGTGATCACAAAATTTTGATATCATCAGTCTTTTCCATATGTATTTATAGGCAAAAAGCATCACTCAACCAAAACTAAAAGAAGAATCTTTCAAACAAAAATATGAATGAAGAACAATAGCTGAATTACTCAGAACAAATCTCACTCAATCTCAAAATAACAATATCTTCTATTCTCTCAATACTACAGGATCTTTAGAATTCACATAGCACAAAATTCAAACCAGCACTATCACTGCAGCACTTCAACATATTTCTAACAAAAAGTTTGCTGTTTGTAACTTTTAACATGTCTTCTCATTCAAAGCATCTAAGCTTTACTACAATCTTAAAAAACTTAGTAATATCATTAGACAAGTTAAACATTCCTTAAAAAACCTATCTTCTATATCTGTTTACCACAATTCTACAATAAACTATCTTAATTCACAATATCAACTCCACATCCCTGATATACTACTTGACTATACAATATTACCAGAATAGATATTTGCAGCAAACAATAAATAGAAAGCACTTTATCATGTTCACAACATTAAAAACATTAATGAAATCAAACAACAAATTGATGAAAATATTACTAAACAATGCAACAAACTTTAATCTAACTCCACCTAAACAACTTAAATTCTTAATTCTATAAACCAACAAATAAAAAGTTAGGCAGTTCAAAGTTTAACAATCTTAAACTAAGTAGTAATCAACTGTAATTATTCACAGCACCTCTATGATCAATAGTATACTCAATTAACATAAAGACCCTGTTAGATTTGACAACATCAAATCTGATCATGATGTGATTACAGACTCTAATAAAATCAAATCTCACATACAAAAACACTTTAATCAATGGACTGCATACAGAGCAATTAATGAAAATATATATAATACTATTTGGCTTACAGAATATAACATTAAACATAATATTGATACCACATGGTACCAATCTGCTCTTCAAGACTTTACTACAGCAGAGGTTTTTTAAATACTATCTCAACTACCAAATCATAAAGCATATGGACTATCAGGTATTAGCTATGAGATGCTTAACATGCTGGACCAGACTTTATTCAAGCCATTACATCTCTTTTCAACCAATGTTTAGCAACAAATCAAATATCTAAACAATAGAAAGAGGGAAGAATCTTTCCAATATCCAAAAAACCTATTTTCAATAGGAACCTCACCAATACTAGACCTATAAGCCTTTTGGAACACATTAAAAACTCTATACCAAACTTCTAACAAATTGTTTAAACAGTATCTTTACTCATCACCATATCCTCTCATCATATAACTATATTGCTCTATCTAGAAATAGTACAACTATCTCTATCTATATTCTTAATAACATTATTGAAGAAGCCTCTTGCAATTCTAAGCAACTTTGGCTTATATCTCAAAATATAAGCAAAGCATATGACTCTGTCAATTTAGAACTATTTAAAAGATCCCTTGGACGTA